ATATCCAAAATAATCAATATTGAATCGAATCGGAATCCGAATCGAATTGCAAGCTTGTGAATCGAAATCGAATCGAATTGTGAAATTTGTGTCAATACCCAGCCCTACTTTACCGACATTTTTAAAAAAAAGCGACTAGCGACAATTTTAGCGACTTTTTGGACAAACCTCAGTAACCTCCAAATGTTATCTGCTTTTCTTTTGTTTTATATTTAAAGAATTTAGTTTGACCATTTTAATTTGATTTATTTTCTTGTGCTTATTACTTGTAACACTATCACAGAGCTTAGTTCATCCGGTTCCCTCTCTCAATTCAGATAATGTTCCACATAGGCCTATAAAAAATGTAATCATTCACTATATTATAGCTACTCGTTCTATTGTCTGACAACAAAAAAAAAATAGGAAATGAGAACAGCTTTATTTGACATTCGGCTATATTATATGAAATGAGTGCACCTCTGTCCCTCTAGGGGGGTTCAGGGGCATGCTCCCCCGTAAGAAAATGTTGTGCTTTTTAATGTTAAATTCATCAATCTGGTGCAGTTTGAGAGTTAAAAATAAAGAGCTCCAACCCATATTCAGTGTGCAAATTGAACAAAGAAAAACTCAAAACTCTTTTAGTTGTGATATAGTGTCTGTCTACATTACACTACTACATAATAATAGTTATAATATTAATCCCATGGCAGTAATAGCCATATGTTGTAAAACAAATGCACTGAAAAATAAAAGCATAAATAGTTTCGTACTAATTTCTATACAGAGATAAGCACATGATCTTTTATTTTGACGGAAACGGCATCAAGCTTTTATTTTGAAGAAAAACATTCTAATAAAATGCGTAATCGTCAAATATGCAGATGTGTAATGCGTAACTAGTGTGTTCCTACACAGCCTAAGTGTTGTGACAGTAGCCTAGTTCTGCTCACCACAGTTCTCTGCACTCACTCATCTCTCTCCTTATCCTCCTCACTATCCTCACTCATCTCTCTCCTTATCCTCCTCACTATCCTCACTCATCTCTCTCCTTATCCTCCTCTCTATCCTCACTCATCTCTCTCCTTATCCTCCTCTATCCTCACTCATCTCTCTCCTTATCCTCCTCTCTATCCTCACTCATCTCTCTCCTTATCCTCCTCACTATCCTCACTCATCTCTCTCCTTATCCTCCTCACTATCCTCACTCATCTCTCTCCTTATCCTCCTCACTATCCTCACTCATCTCTCTCCTTATCCTCCTCACTATCCTCACTCATCTCTCTCCTTATCCTCCTCACTATCCTCACTCATCTCTCTCCTTATCCTCCTCTCTATCCTCACTCATCTCTCTCCTTATCCTCCTCACTATCCTCACTCATCTCTCTCCTTATCCTCCTCACTATCCTCACTCATCTCTCTCCTTATCCTCCTCACTATCCTCACTCATCTCTCTCCTTATCCTCCTCACTATCCTCACTCATCTCTCTCCTTATCCTCCTCACTATCCTCACTCATCTCTCTCCTTATCCTCCTCACTATCCTCACTCATCTCTCTCCTTATCCTCCTCACTATCCTCACTCATCTCTCTCCTTATCCTCCTCACTATCCTCACTCATCTCTCTCCTTATCCTCCTCACTATCCTCACTCATCTCTCTCCTTATCCTCCTCACTATCCTCACTCATCTCTCTCCTTATCCTCCTCACTATCCTCACTCATCTCTCTCCTTATCCTCCTCACTATCCTCACTCATCTCTCTCCTTATCCTCCTCACTATCCTCACTCATCTCTCTCCTTATCCTCCTCACTATCCTCACTCATCTCTCTCCTTATCCTCCTCACTATCCTCACTCATCTCTCTCCTTATCCTCCTCACTATCCTCACTCATCTCTCTCCTTATCCTCCTCACTATCCTCACTCATCTCTCTCCTTATCCTCCTCACTATCCTCACTCATCTCTCTCCTTATCCTCCTCACTATCCTCACTCATCTCTCTCCTTATCCTCCTCACTATCCTCACTCATCTCTCTCCTTATCCTCCTCACTATCCTCACTCATCTCTCTCCTTATCCTCCTCACTATCCTCACTCATCTCTCTCCTTATCCTCCTCACTATCCTCACTCATCTCTCTCCTTATCCTCCTCACTATCCTCACTCATCTCTCTCCTTATCCTCCTCACTATCCTCACTCATCTCTCTCCTTATCCTCCTCACTATCCTCACTCATCTCTCTCCTTATCCTCCTCACTATCCTCACTCATCTCTCTCCTTATCCTCCTCACTATCCTCACTCATCTCTCTCCTTATCCTCCTCACTATCCTCACTCATCTCTCTCCTTATCCTCCTCACTATCCTCACTCATCTCTCTCCTTATCCTCCTCACTATCCTCACTCATCTCTCTCCTTATCCTCCTCACTATCCTCACTCATCTCTCTCCTTATCCTCCTCACTATCCTCACTCATCTCTCTCCTTATCCTCCTCACTATCCTCACTCATCTCTCTCCTTATCCTCCTCACTATCCTCACTCATCTCTCTCCTTATCCTCCTCACTATCCTCACTCATCTCTCTCCTTATCCTCCTCACTATCCTCACTCATCTCTCTCCTTATCCTCCTCACTATCCTCACTCATCTCTCTCCTTATCCTCCTCACTATCCTCACTCATCTCTCTCCTTATCCTCCTCACTATCCTCACTCATCTCTCTCCTTATCCTCCTCACTATCCTCACTCATCTCTCTCCTTATCCTCCTCACTATCCTCACTCATCTCTCTCCTTATCCTCCTCACTATCCTCACTCATCTCTCTCCTTATCCTCCTCACTATCCTCACTCATCTCTCTCCTTATCCTCCTCACTATCCTCACTCATCTCTCTCCTTATCCTCCTCACTATCCTCACTCATCTCTCTCCTTATCCTCCTCACTATCCTCACTCATCTCTCTCCTTATCCTCCTCACTATCCTCACTCATCTCTCTCCTTATCCTCCTCACTATCCTCACTCATCTCTCTCCTTATCCTCCTCACTATCCTCACTCATCTCTCTCCTTATCCTCCTCACTATCCTCACTCATCTCTCTCCTTATCCTCCTCACTATCCTCACTCATCTCTCTCCTTATCCTCCTCACTATCCTCACTCATCTCTCTCCTTATCCTCCTCACTATCCTCACTCATCTCTCTCCTTATCCTCCTCACTATCCTCACTCATCTCTCTCCTTATCCTCCTCTATCCTCACTCATCTCTCTCCTTATCCTCCTCACTATCCTCACTCATCTCTCTCCTTATCCTCCTCACTATCCTCACTCATCTCTCTCCTTATCCTCCTCACTATCCTCACTCATCTCTCTCCTTATCCTCCTCACTATCCTCACTCATCTCTCTCCTTATCCTCCTCACTATCCTCACTCATCTCTCTCCTTATCCTCCTCACTATCCTCACTCATCTCTCTCCTTATCCTCCTCACTATCCTCACTCATCTCTCTCCTTATCCTCCTCACTATCCTCACTCATCTCTCTCCTTATCCTCCTCACTATCCCCTCACTCATCTCTCTCCTTATCCTCCTCACTATCCTCACTCATCTCTCTCCTTATCCTCCTCACTATCCTCACTCATCTCTCTCCTTATCCTCCTCACTATCCTCACTCATCTCTCTCCTTATCCTCCTCACTATCCTCACTCATCTCTCTCCTTATCCTCCTCACTATCCTCAATCATCTCTCTCCTTATCCTCCTCTATCCTCACTCATCTCTCTCCTTATCCTCCTCACTATCCTCACTCATCTCTCTCCTTATCCTCCTCACTATCCTCACTCATCTCTCTCCTTATCCTCCTCACTATCCTCACTCATCTCTCTCCTTATCCTCCTCACTATCCTCACTCATCTCTCTCCTTATCCTCCTCTATCCTCACTCATCTCTCTCCTTATCCTCCTCACTATCCTCACTCATCTCTCTCCTTATCCTCCTCTCTATCCTCACTCATCTCTCTCCTTATCCTCCTCACTATCCTCACTCATCTCTCTCCTTATCCTCCTCACTATCCTCACTCATCTCTCTCCTTATCCTCCTCACTATCCTCACTCATCTCTCTCCTTATCCTCCTCACTATCCTCACTCATCTCTCTCCTTATCCTCCTCTATCCTCACTCATCTCTCTCCTTATCCTCCTCACTATCCTCACTCATCTCTCTCCTTATCCTCCTCACTATCCTCACTCATCTCTCTCCTTATCCTCCTCTATCCTCATCAGACACTTGAAGGGCCTCTGAAGTTTCTTTTTTCACGCTATTTCTCTGCACATTCCTTGCGTTTCTTCTCCATCGCTCTGACTATTTTGACAGATACACACTGACACTGCTCGCTCACTCAGAGCTCAAAGGGGGAGGAGTTTAAAGATGTGATTGGACCAGCCCAGTGTCAATCAAGAAAATAACCAATGGGCCGCTGATCTACGCGTTTCATCATGCGCCGGTCTGTGAGAAAAAGAAAAACCTACGCTGACTTTTTTGTCCAATGCATTACACCGGCACAAAGATCCCAGAGCCGCCAATTAAACAAAACTAAACGCAATGGGCCGCCGATGTGCGAGTTTTATGGGCCGTTCAGACAAAAAAAAAAAAAAAAAAAATTAAGTATGAGATGTATCGGCCCACAAACCACGTCGGCCCACCGGGCAAATGCCAGCAATTAATATTTTTTCAGAACCTCTAGTAAATTACATGTTTTTGTTAAGTTGTCTGTTCGGAATCAGGGGAGAATATAAAAAAAGAAAAAAAAAGAAAGGGATTCTCAGTTTAACCAGAATTTAATTTTTATCCCCTTTCTTTGTTTCTAATGTAATCTCTCTCTCTCTCTCTCTCTCTCTCTCTCTCTCTCTCTCTCTCTCTCTCTCTCTCTCTCTCTCTCTCTCTCTCTCTCTCTCTCTCTCTCTCTCTCTCTCTCTCTCTCTCTCTCTCTCTCTCTCTCTCTCTCTCTCTCTCTCTCTCTCTCTCTCTATCTCTCTCTCAGCTGTTTGAGTTTCTCGGTCCTCAGGGGTTTGAGATGATCTCCATGCTCCTTCAGAGAAGGTCAGACATCGTGGACTCTCTTTTGTCCTTCCCGTCGGATTGCCGATCTTCCATCATGTCAGGTGAGCTCAGTAGCAACTTCCCAGGCCTTCACAGCTTAAACATGGCAACAGGGCCGGCCATGACCAATTTGCTGCCCTAGGCAAGATTTTACCTCTGGTGCCCCATGCATTACAGCCCATTTCACCCCATCATTGTGTTGGTGATTATTTAGTCAATATATATATATATATAGCAAGAGCATTACACCTAGCATTCAAGTTAAGTCCCCTTTATTTTTATATAGCGCTTTTTAGCCTACAATACAGATTATTTCAAGGCAGCGTTACAGTGATAACAGGAAAATAATGCAACAAAGTTTGCTTCTCCAGTACAGCAGATCTAGAAGAAAATAGTGTCATAATCCAGCTTAAGTATGTTCAGTGATGGTTTATTTTGTTGTAAAAAAATATTAATTTATTTAATTTATATATAGCCGCTCTGGATAAAACAGTGACGTCATCGTCCAAATGTCATTCATGCACAAACTATTCATTGAGCACTATAGCAAAAGTGTTTGTTTGGGAGTTGATGGCAGCAATCTTCCACTAAATTATGCACGGTTCATGTTTTCAACATGAATGAAACTGCGAAATGTCTTCTTTAATGTGAATTTTACATAAAACATAATAAACCTGTAGCCTATAAATATCGTTAATAATTTTGGCAAATAAATTTAAAAAATGCCATATATTCACCTCAAAACTGCACAACTGTATAGTAAAACATTAATTAATAAAAGTGATCGTAAATGCGTCTAAAAAAAAAATGCAAATCGCATTGTGTGGGGGATCTGAAGAACTCAGAACTACTGTTAGCATAAAGTTATAAGGTAAAATAACTGCCATTATGATTATAGTCTTACTACTATGCAATTAGATAAACTGTTCATTCATTACATCACTTTACCTCTGTCTTTATCCCCTTGTAGCCTCTTCTCTTTGGCACTGTATCTATCGCAGGCTATAATGCTAATTTAAATGTGTCATGTAAATTCGGCCATCCGTCACAATGAGGAAACTTTCCCCGTGTCTCGAGCTGGCGCGAGCTGCCCGGCCCGTTTCTAGTGCTTGAGTGTGTTAAGCGCCCGCTAACGAAAGCAATGCTGTCTACATTGGATGCGGCGAGGGGCGACGCTACACAACAAATGACCCACAGTAAACTGATCTCGCGTCTTTTAATACCACTGTCTTAAGTTAACGTGTTGCGTTCATATTATGTGCTCATCTGCTTTTCTGTAGTATGCATTATTGTGTTTACTAAGTTTGATAATATCATTCAAAATTATCAAATCAAATTAATGAATTAAAATTAATAAAAAATACCAATTTATTGCAAAATGTCTGTATAAAGTGTTTTGAATTATCACTAACCATCCCTTATTTTGTTCAATTATTTGAATGATCAAATACTGAGTAACAAAAATGTTTGCATTGTGTTCCCTTTCTAACCAAATGCTATAGTTTGATTGTAATCATAATGCAAAACCTGATACTTATCTAAAAAAAATTGTTAAAAAAAATAAAGTAGTCTTTTAGAATATCTAAATGTATATCTAAAAACAAAAAACAAAAAAAAAAACGAATAAGATAGAGAAATCATGTCTTAAACAACAATAGGAATCAAAAAGCCTTTCTATGTTTATATAGGAAGCTATAGGCTGGTACAGGACATTGCACACATGTAACTATTTTTAAAGCCACTAGATGGCGCTCTTCTATTTGAACATTTTTTTTTTAGGCTGGCACTCTATTTTGATGTGAAATGTTGCATTTATTGAAAAAAATAAAAAATAAATATAAAATAAATATATATATATATTAATTCTAATGGAAAAAATAGCTCATAAAAATGATATAATTAATGCAAAGTATCATAAAAAACTCTAAAAAATCTAAATAATAATCAGAAAATATTATAGAAAAAACATATATTTGATTGGCTATCCTGGGAAAAAATAAAGTTTTTGACCGGGAGGAAGCTAAGTGTAACCCATTTACGAAGAAGCCCAGAGGGTTAAGCCATGTTAGCGTTTCAGAACATCCACGAGGAGCCGGGTTTCGTGACATCATCGCGTACAATAGAAGTCCCATTTCATTGGCTATAGGCGGCAACCAATAAAACAGCTCCGTCGAACACCCCCGCTCCCGCCCCCCTCTCTCTCTCTCTCTCTCTCGCCGCCACTGAGTTGCAAGTGCACAAATCAGTTTCGCGCCTCATATATCGCGAAAAGAGTAGCAAAAGTCAAGGCACGAAATTTGAACTTGCAGTGACAGATTTGAGAAGTTGCAAGTGCCAATTTGAGGTTGTACTGCGAATTTGAATGTTAGAAGAAGTGCAAATATATTTTACATGTTTGTGATTGTCGTTGTATTTCTGTGAATGGCATTTTACACATTTGTGACTGCTCGTCTGCAGCTTCAGATTCAGAATACAGGTGTGTGACTATTGTCTGCGAGTGCAAATCTCAGCGTTCAACTTCAGATTTTTATTTTACAGGTTTTCACATCGGAGCTGTGAGTGTAAATGTTCACATACAAGTGCGAATATTTATTGTACAAGTTCTCAAATTCACATCTACGTGCTCTCAAGTTTAGCTACTGATTTACCTTCATATATTCACACCTGCCTTGTTTGGTTCGATTGAATCGAACTCTAGTTCGTTTCCCCCTTTGGTGCGGACCTTTTGGGCAGGTGTGAATACAGCAATCGAACTCGGGTGCGGACCAAACAGCCGAACCGAGACCCAGCTGAAGAGGTGGTCTCGGTACGGTTCCAATCGAACTCTGGTACGGTTCGTTTACGGTGTGAACATGAACCGACCCAATTGCAAGGAAGCACTGCGCCTTTGAGTTAACAGGCTTCCGTAGTCGGAGTTGTGTTATGGGAAAGTGATCTGTTGTAGCCTACTACATTTGATAAAATGAGTCGTGGTTTGACCTGGAGCTTCGAAGAGACGAGCTGCCTTATTAACATTTGGGCAGATGCCCATGTAGCACAGCTGCTGGAGAGGACACATCAAAATACTGATGTGTTCAACATGTTTACGGTGAAGGAGAGGGGATATGGGAGGTCTCCCGCACAGTGCCGCGTTAAAGTAAAAACACTTCGGCAACATTACTTGAGAATCCTTGTCCAATGAATGGACGACCTTAGCACACGTGTGGTTTTGTTTACAAATTTTGGTTCACTTGCAAAAAGAGCAGTGTGAAAGCGAACCGTACCAAAAAAAATACAATTATTTGGTCCGGACCAAAGCAAGTGAACTATCGGACTTTCCTGGTGTGAATACACCCTTAGTTAAGTTTTTGTGGAGTTGTTTTGCTTTATTTTGTAGTATTTCGAATTAATGGTTTTAAAATAGCATTAGTAAAAAAATAGTTTTTTAAAATTCACTCGTTCACTCATTTTGGCGCCCCTATTGAGTGGTGGCGCCCCTAGCATTTGCCGGCCCTGCATGGCAAAGATCTCCTCATCTAAACATTTCCAGCAACACCGGTTTTGCATTTAAATAACTATGAGCAATGTTGAATTAATCGCACTAACAGTCAATAGGTTTGGACATGTTACATTTGTTTGTAATTTGGTATGATTTAACTATGAACAAAAACACAATGCCTCTGTCGACGGTGGTTTCATTAAAATTGCAGAACATAACTCTTGATAGTGTTTTAGCTGTAATAATACTTTTGTCAAAACTAGCAGATACCAAACACGCGAGACACCAGAATGTATGGTTACAACATTGACAATTTCAGGAGGAAGTCATTTTCCGTACACAGTATGAGCATTTAGTGGAGTCACCTCATGCATCACTCATTACAATTTACAGTGTATATCTGTTTAACTCAATTTCACGTACTTTATTTTTTTTAATTTAAGTTTGCATTGTTGTAATTAATCCTAGAGATTTTTGGTTTGGTTCATGGCTTGGACGACTTTTGGGATATTTTGTCTCGTTTCTCACTAAATTCTCAGTTTTATGCTTAAAACAAGCAAAGCAAAAAATAACATAATTCAAGTAGATACATCTTGAGTAGATTAAAAAAAGTGTGGAGTCCACTCATAATGCATAATAATAACTCATTATGCGATGCAAATAGTGGGAAGTCTAATCCGAATCTTTAAGCCATACTCTTCTAGCGAACAGTAATCTTCGTGTCCTTTGACTTTGAGCACTTTTGCATGGCAAAGTTAAGTTTAAAAACAAAGAAAGAGCATTTGAAAGAGAGGAGAGAGTGAATGAAAGGGAGCTGGAGAGAAATACGACCACTGACCCTTAAACCTCCATAAAGCTTTACAGCCGCCACTTCTCCAAACACTGTGCGTGCGTTAGTCTTTAGGCGTCGTCTATTAACCTTCCCTTCCTGATGAGCAGCTGTTCGTCTGAGCTCTGGATGCTGAGGGTCAGGGTTTACTGTACCGGCACGTCATGCACATCAGAGATCCAGGGCGACTCGTCCGTCCCACACTTGACCACAACACTGTTTAGATCAGAAAATCAATCTCTCACACGTTCTCTGTCTGTACCTCTGACAACTTTAGTTGGTTTAGGTTTTAATTAAAGGCTGCGTGCCTTTATAAAAGCTGTTTGTGTGTGGAAATTTAATTAATTAAAGCAGACTATAAATGGGTATTATTATGTTTGGATTGTGTTTATCGTTAATAATTGGTGTAGATCCAGTTAGAAGTGTCATATACTGAGCGTTTAGCGTTTACTCGTTACTCATATTGACCGCTTTACTATGGGACCCACAAAGGGAAATTTCCTATTTGTAGCCATTTATAGAAAACAATAAATAAATCAGTGGGTTTTTTTGTCCCCACGTAAAACCTGACAGTATAATTTTCAGGTTTACACTTTACAGTAAGCTCACATTTATAAACTTATTAACATTATTTATCTATATTAGTTAACATTAACCAACTGAGATTAATATATGTATTAGAGGTATTTTTCATTGTTAGTTAATGTCAACATTTACATCTTATTTTATTTAATGGACCTTATTGTTAGAAATAA